CAAGAAAGATAGCGCTACAATGAATGGGACGGGGTGGGTATCGGTCGTTTGGTGCGTTGCGGTCGTGGCATAGCGATGAGTCGTTTTCTCCAAGCTGCAAGTCGAGGAGGCTTCAATCCTCGCTCTTCACCCGCCCCCTCCCGGCCCCGTGCCCGTGCCCATGCCCATTCCCATTCGCGCCCCCATGCGCCGTCGCCTTCTCCGCCGCATCCACCGCCTCCAGCAAATCCGCCTCGGGGTCCCCGTCCCCGTCCCCGTCCCCATCGCCCTCGCCCTCGCCCTCCCCGTCCGCGTCCTCGTCCATCTCCTCGTGGTGCCCGTCGCCGTGCGCGTGCGCGTGCGCGTGGTGCGGCACATGCACATGCAGCGCGTCCTCGTCCACCTCCGCCTCCGCGTCCGCGTCCAGGCTGTCCCCCCTCGCCGTCCTCCGCGTCCTCCCCGGGCCCCTCCCCGTCCGCGCCCCGCCGCCCGCCCCCGTCCCCGTCCGCGTCCCCGTCCAGCTCGTCGTGCTCGTCCACCTCCATCGGGCTGTGCGTCCGCAGCGGCGGCAGCAGCCCCGGCGCGCCTGCGCCAGACGTGTGCGCGGCGGCGGCCGCGGGGTTCGCAGGCAGCGTGAGCGTCAGCCGGTTCTTGATCACCCGCCCCGCGTTCGCGGCGGCGGAGGAGGACGACGACGAGTGCGGCGCAGCGGCCGTGGAGCGCATGCTGCTCTCCTGCGGCGCCTCACGCTCTCTGTACCCCGCCCCTCCGCCGCCTCCTCCGCCCGCACCCGCACCGGCGGCGGGCAGCGTATCCGTGCGCTGCACCCCGCCCGTGTTGCTCCTGAACGGCTGTCCCCCCGCCCCCGCGCCAGCAGCGCCCGGCGCAGCAGCAGCCCCAGGCTGACCCGCCCCCGCCCCCGCCCCCGCCCCCGCCCCCGCCGCAGCCGCCGCCGCCGCCATCTCCATCGTCCCCCGCCGCTCCACCCGCTTCATCTTCTTCCTGCAGCGGTCGCACACCGTCCCGGGCCCGAGCGGCCCCGGGCCCCACTTCTCGACGCACTTGCCCTCCTTGTAGCGCCCGGGGAGGCCGCACTGGCGGCAGATGCGCTGGTTCGCGGCGTTGGTGGGGGGGAAGGGGGTCTGCGGGGAAAGCAAAGGGGCGTTAGCATATAGCAAATATAGGTTTGAGAGACAAGACACAAGAAGGGAGCGAAACGACCGCGAGGCCAAAGCCCGAAGAAAAGAAACCGAAAAAAAAACGAGAAAAAAAACTCACCCCGCCCCCCTGCGCCGGGTACGCAAACGCATGCAGATCCTTCGTGCCCTTCTTCTGTGGCGGCCCCGCCCCGCCTGCCCCTCCCGCTGTGGGCGTCCCCCCGACAACGCCCGCCTGCCCCGGAATCGGCGGCACGGGCGCAAACACGCTCGGCTGCCCGAGCTCCCGCTCCCCCCGCCGCGTGTCGACGCTCCCCGCGCGCTGCGGCGTGCCGTGCCCCCCGCCCCCGTGGTGTCCGCCCGGGACGTCGAGCGTCCCCCCGCGCTCGCGCTCGCGGCTCCACTCGGGGCTGCTGCGCGCGTGCTGGCTCGACGACGAGTGCGCGCCGTGCGGGTGCGCGTGCGCCGCGGGGCGCGGGGAGCCGTTCGCGCTCTCGAGGAGGAGCGCGTCGAGGTCGTCCGACGCGGTGCTGGGCGAGCGGCGGTGCGCGTGGCCGTGCCCGTGCGTGGGCTGGCGCTCGGGGGTGCGGCGGTGCGTCTGGGGGTGGCGCTGGGACGAGGTGGCGGCGGCGGGCGGGTAGCGTGAGGATGACGCAGCGTGTGAGGAGGAGGCTTGGGCGGGCGGGAGGCCGGAGGAGGCGGCGGGGTAGTATTGGTGGGGGTGGTGGTACTGTGGTACGCGTCAGTATCAAGAGAAGATAGAAAGAGCCAGAGAGACAGAAACGAATAAAAAATAACCGTGCCGAAAAAGACCGGAATGCGAGCGATCTACCCTCGTCGACGTCCACAATCCGCGCATCGCAGCACCATGACACGACGAGCCGCCGCTCCAGTATAAGCCCGGATGCGACACGTCCAGCCAGCCATGCATCGCATGACACAGCGCGCCCGTCCAGGACGAGAATGAGGGTGGGGAGAACGAGACGGAAAGTGCAAGACGCCCAGCCCGCGTTGGCACAGAAATAGCGAGTCGACGACGGAATAAAACAGAACCGCGCCGAATGCGCGCGATCTGCCCTCGTCGGCGTCCACAATCCGCGCATCGCAGCACCATGACACGACGAGCCGCCGCTCCAGTATAAGCCCGGATGCGACACGTCCAGCCAGGCATGCATCGCATGACACAGCGCGCCCGTCCAGAACGAGAATGGGGTGGGGAGAACGAGACGGAAAGTGCAAGACGCCCAGCCCGTGTCGACACAGAAATAGCGAGTCGACGACGGAATAAAACAGAACCGCGCCGAATGCGCGCGATCTACCCTCGTCGACGTCCACAATCCGCGCATCGCAGCACGAGCCGCCGCTCCAGTATGAGCCCAGATGCGACACGTCCAGCCAGGGTAGGCGAAACACGCCCCCATGCATCGCATCGCATGACACAGCGCGCCCGTCCCCGTCCAGAACGAGAATGGGGTGGGGAGGACGAGACGGAAAGTGCAAGACGCCCAACCAGAAATAGCGCGTCGCCGACTTCACGGAATGAAATCAGGTGGAGCGACAAGCCACTCCCCGACCCGAATATCGAAGGCACCCCATTCTCTCCCAAAAACCACAACCGACCGAGAAAACACCCACCTCATACTCCCCCCCATCCACCCTTGCCCGCTTCAGCTCCCTCCCCCCCTCCCTCCCCCGTTCCCCTTCCCTTCCGCGTTCGCCCGAGTAATGCACGTCGACGCTCTCCGCCCTGGGCCGCCTGCTGCCGGTGGCGATCGCGGACGCGGCGTGCGCGGTCGGCGGGGGCGGGAGCGCGAGGCTGTTGAACGCGTCCGAGCGCGTGTCGCGGCGGGTGTCTCGTCTGTGTGCGCGTGCGTCAGCCTCATACTCTATTTTTCGAGGAAGTAAAAAAGGAAACCGACCTGCGGTCCGCGGGGTAGGCGTGCAGGTGCTGCGCCGGGTGCGCGAGATGGTGTTGCTGCTGCGCCGCGGGCGGGGGCATGTAATACCCGCCCCGCTCCCCCCCGTACCCTCTTTCGCCGTACCCCCTCTCCGCCCCACCACCGGTGTAATTGAGACTGAGGTTCGAGGAACTCGCCCCAGCGGGCAGCGGCACGTCGACAAGCACGAGGCGCCCCCCGCCGCCCTCGACGATCTTGCTGAAGCCGAGCCGCGCGTCCGCCGCGCGCGCGTCGACGACGCCGAGGTAGGCGTTGAGCTGCGCCCAGTTGGACTGCAGGAGCGCGAGGCGCGCGAGGGCGTCGTCGCGGCGGGACTCGGCGAGCGCGGTGCGGTCGTCGAGCGCGAGGAGCAGCGCGAGCGTCGCGGGGGGGAGCTGCGGGACGGTCGCGGCGGTGGGGGACGAGGTGGTGGGGTGCGGGGCGGTGGGCGAGTCGGCTGGCGCAGCGGGGGGGTCAGCGGGGACGGGTGTGTCCGACGCGGACGCGGCGCTGCCTGAGGACGTCGGGCGGTCGGTCTCCTGTGACTGCGGCGCAGCAGTAGTAGAATTCGTGGTAGCAGTCGCAGGCGGCACCAGCGTAGCCGCCACAGCGCCAAACGTCGCCAGCAGCCGCTCCGCGCGCTCGGCGCGCCGTTTCGCGGCGGCGAGCTCCTCGCGCAGGGCCTCGACGTCGCCGAGCGCGCCGGCAAGCAGGGCGGCGAGGTGGGCGGAGGTGGAGAGCGTACCCGGGAGGGGCACGGGAGTGGGCGTCGTGGTGGGCGCGGTAGTAGTAGTAGTAGGCACAGGAGCGTCGTCAGCAGCAGTTTTAGCAGTCTCAAGGGCGGCGGGCATGGGGACGTCGGGAGAGTCGGTGGCAACGGCGGCGGCAACAGCGGCGTCGACGCCGGGGTTATCGGTCATGTCGTCTGCGTCTTGGGATAGGTACGCGCAGAAAGGTCAGAAAAGCGGGGAGCAGGACAGGGCGCTAGGTACGCGCAAAGGGCAGAAAAGCGGGGCAGCAGGCGCACGGCAAACACGCGCGGCCGGTTTTCTAGTAGGCCGACGTGAAAAGAAGCGCCCTACCCCACGCGAACCCGAACCGCAACAGGCGGGCCAACCCAGCCCGCATCACGGAGTTAGTCTTGTCTCCGCCCAATGTAAATCCCTGTGCACAACCAGTGCTCCTGCAGATCCGACCGCGACCCCCCGTTGCTGCCCCTCCACTCGACTGCAATATCCTCAAATTACAAGGTATCCAACCCTCCCCGCGCAAACCAACCCACCCACCATCACAAGAAGCGCCGCGCTCCCCGGGGTCCGTCCCCCACGCGGCCACACACCCTCCTTCTGATGGACGCGTGTCCCGCCAGCAACGTGGTAATCCACCCGACAGCACGGGCGCATTACCAAGCCCGCGCTTCGTAAGAGCGCCGGCCACCTCCCCGCGGTTTGGCGCGCGGATATAGTCGGGATTAAGCCGCGCGCTGATCGCCGCTGCGCGACGGGGATCTCGCGTAACGTATCCCGAGCAGGGTCGGCGCGTCGGCGGAGAACGGGGGCGAATACGAGTATTCGCTTCCTCGGGGGCGATTCCTGCCATTTCGGTATCGCGCCCTTGGTGTACGATAACACCCGTCTTCATGGTACTGTGTCAACGCCGATGATTCAAGACGAGTCCGGGGTTCGACTCCCCGAGGGCGTATGTCTGAAGTGTCACTTCTTTTGGCGGCGATTCGACTTTTCCGAGTCGCCGACTTTGGTATTGCCATAATCTTTTTTCTTCCTTCCTTGCAGACAGCCGAATGGAACGAACAGCCATTTTTTAATCTATCTATCTATATCTATCGGGACCTTGCAAAGTCGCGTGGGCGCCTATAACTCGGAGTAAAATGTAGCGGAGCCATCGGTTGATATATGTCCACTAGTAAGCACCCTTGGTGTATGGAAACACACATCGTACAGTTGATACCTGTACAATTCCCAATTAATCAAGATGAGTCCGGGGTTTGAATCCCCGAGGGTGCATGATTTTCGTGTGCCACTGGTTGAGTCTTTTGGCCGGGGTTCTGTTTTTCCGACTTTGGTGTTTGCCGTACGCGTCCGACTTTTTTTGAGAGCGGAATGGAATGGAAGGAACAGCCATTTTTCAATCTATCTTGAACAAAACGGATAAAGTGCAGATGCAGGGAGGGGACCTTGCAACATTGGGTGACCCCTAAGTTGGAGTGTAATTTTCCTACTGAGCAGGTCAGTTGATCATGATATCTGCCCGCTACAGCATGCATAGGAAGCACCCTTGGTGTACATTGGAAACACACATCTTTGAGTTGATGTACTCTTGTCTTGGATTTCACTAATCAAGATGAGTCCGGGGTTCGAATCCCCGAGGGTGCATCCGTCCCGTCCGAATCTTTTGGCTTGGGTTCTGTTTTTCCGACTTTGGTGTTCACTGTTTGCCGTCCGACTTGTTTTGAGAGCGGAAGGAGCAGCCTGGATTTTTCAATCAATCAGTCAATCAATCTAGAACAGGACATGGCAGATGGAGTGCAAACACAGGGGACCCTGCAAGCACCCGTAAGTTGCTGTATAATTTAGTGGACCATACCTACCAAGCAGTTCAGTCAACATGTGCCCTTGGTGTACGGTAACACATGTCTTACATCTACTTTGTCGCGGGGAGGGATTCGAGGCGAGTCCGGGGTTCGAGTCCCCGAGGGTGCATTATCCATTCGCAATCACTTTTTTTATCTTTCCCTCCTCGTTGGTTGTGGTTTTGGTTTTGGGTGCTGAAACATCTAACTAGCCGGACATTTGCAGGTCCCAGTTGGTAGCTGTTCATTAATTTTGAATTATTGCATGGTAACACATGTTTAAATCAAAACATCGAGCATTCACCAACTTCTCAACCCACCACAGCACTCTAGATGTAGCAAGCACCCTTGGTCAGATCTTCTTGATATGCAAAGGAGAATTCAAGACAACATAAGTTGCCGTATAATTTAGCGGACCATACCTACCGAGCAGTCTAGTCAAGATGTGCCCTTGGTGTACGGTAACACCCGTCTTCATGGTACCATCTCGTGGTTATCCAGGTACCTAATTCAAGACGAGTCCGGGGTTCGACTCCCCGAGGGTGTATGCTGAAGAGCATTGATTTTTTTTGGTGGCGGTTCTACTTTTCCGAGTCGCGGACTTTGATATTGCCATAATCTTTTTTCTTCTTCCTTGCAGACAGCGAACAGCCATTTTTTAATCTATCTATCTATATCTAGTTGGGTGGGCGCCTATAACTCGGAGTATAATGTAGCGAAACCATCGGTTGATATATGTCCACTACAATAGAGGTACTAAGCACCCTTGGTGTATGGAAACACACATCTCACAGTTGTCATTTGACCGATAATCAACTAATCAAGTTGAGTCCGGGGTTTGAATCCCCGAGGGTGCATTCATTGTCCCTCTGGTGGCCAAGTCTTTTGGCCGGGGTTCTGTTTTTCCGACTTCAGTATTTGCTGTCGTCCGAGTTATTTTTTTTTAAAGAGCGGAATGGAATGCAAAGAACAGCCAATCAATCTAGAACAAAACCAGATGCAGGGAGGGGACCTTGCAACATTGTGTGGGCACCCTAACTTTAAGTTGGAGTGTAATTTATCTACTGAGCAGGTCAGTTGATATCGATATTTGCCCGCTACAGCATGCATAGGAAGCACCCTTGGTGTACATTATGGAAACACCCATCTTTGAATTGATATATTCTTGGATCTGGTGAATCAAGATGAGTCCGGGGTTCGAATCCCCGAGGGTGCATTCGCATTCGAGTTCCGTTTTTGCGGTGATTCTTTTTCTGACTCCGGCATTATTGCCTCCATCTACATAATGTATCCGTGCTTTTTTCTTTCCTGGCAGGACAGCGGAACGGAAGGAACAGCCATTTTTTTATCAATCTATCTATCTAGAACAGGACATGGCAGATGGAGTGCAAGCACAGGGGACCTTGCAAGCTGCTGTATAATTCAGCGGACCATACCTACCAAACGATATGCGCCCTTGGTGTACGGTAAACACACGTCTTACATCTGCTTGTTGCAAAGAAAGATTTGAGACGAGTCCGGGGTTTGAGTCCCCGAGGGTGCATTATGCCTTCACGATCACTTTTTCTTTCTCTTCCCTTCTCGTTGGTAGTGGTTTTGGTTTTGGTTGCTATTGTCTTGTCGGCTGGTAGAAACATCTAACTAGTCGGATATTTGCGGGACCCAGTTGGTAGTTGTTCATTAATTTTAATTCATTGCACGGTTACAGGTGTTTGAATCAAAACATCGTGCATTGAGCCCAGACTCACCAACTTCTCAACCCACCACAGTACTCTAGATGTAGCAAGCACCCTTAGTCAGATCTTCTTGATATGCAAAGCAGAAGTCAAGACAACGTAAGTTGCTGTATAGTTTAGCGGACCATACCTACCGAGCAGTCTAGACAAGATGCGCCCTTGGTGTATGGTAACACACATCTTCATGGTACCATGTCATGGTTATCCAGGTACCTAGTTCAAGACAAGTCCAGGGTTCAACTCCCCGAGGGTGTATGTTGCAAAGCGGTGATTTCTTTTTATCTAGTTGGGTGGGTGCCTATAACTCGGAGCATAATGTAGGGGAACCATCAATTGATATATGGCCACTACAATAGAGGTAGTAAGCACCCTTGGTGTATGGAAACACACATCTTACAGTTGGTATTTTCTTATTCGTCAATCAAGATGAGTCCGGGGTTCGAATCCCCGAGGGTGCATGGCTTTCGCGGCTGAGTCTTTTGGCTGGGGTTCTGTTTTTCCGACTTTGGTGTTTGCTGTACGCATCCGACTAGTACTTTTGAGAACGGAATGCAAAGAACAGCCAATCTATCTAGAACAAAACCAGATGCAGGGAGGGGACCTTGCAACATTGGGTGACCCCTAAGTTGGAGTGTAATTTATCTACTGAGCAGGTCAGTTGATCATGATATCTGCCTGCTACAGCATGCATAGGAAGCACCCTTGGTGTATGGAAACACACATCTTTGAATTAATATAACCCTGTATCCGGTTAATCAAGATGAGTCCGGGGTTCGAATCCCCGAGGGTGCATTTCCCTCCCCGATTCCTTTTAGCGGTGATTCTTTTTCCGACTCCGGCGTTATTGCCTCCATCTACATACTGTATCCATGCTTTTTTCTTTCCTTGCAGGACAGCGGAAGAAATTAGGAACAGCCATGTTTCAATCTATCTATTTATTCATCTAGAACAGGATGTGGGCCATGTTGGAGTGCAAACACAGGGGACCTTGCAAGCTGCTGTATAATTCAGCGGACCATACCTACCAATCGATATGCGCCCTTGGTGTAAGGTAACACACATCTTACATCTGCTTTGTTGCAAAGAAGGATTTGAGACAAACCCGGGGTTCGATTCCCCGAAGGTGCACTGCATATTTGCGATCGTTTTTTTTTTCTTTTCCCTTCTCGTTGGTTTTGGTTTTGGGTGCTATTATCTTGTTGGCTAGTAGAAACATCTAACTAGTCAGATATTTGCGGGACCTAGTTGGTAGTTGTTCATTAATTTTGAATTATTGCATGGTAACACATGTTTAAATCAAAACATCGAGCATTCACCAACTTTACAACCCACCACAGTACTCTAGATGTAGCAAGCACCCTTGGTCTTCTTGATATGCAAAGCAGAATTCAAGACAGGGTAAGTTGCTGTGTAATTTAGCAGACCATACCTACCGAGCGGTCTAGACAATATGTGCCCTTGGTGTACGATAACACACGTCTTCATGGTATCATCTCATGGTTATTCAGGTACTTAATTCAAGACGAGTCCGGGTTCGACTCCCCGAGGGCGTATGTTTGAAGTGTCACTTCTTTTGGCGGCGATTCTACTTTTCCGAGTCGCCGACTTTGGTATTGCCATAATCTTTTTTCTTCTTTCCTTGCAGACAGCCGAATGGAACGAACAGCCATTTTTTAATCTATCTATCTATATCTATTTATATCTTGCAAAGTCGGGTGGGCGCCTGTAACTCGGAGTATACTGTAGCGGAGCCATCAGTTGATATACGTCCACTACAGCAGATGTACTAAGCACCCTTGGTGTATGGAAACACACTTCTTCAATGTGGCCAAATGGTCCAAATGGTCAAGATGAGTCCGGGGTTCGAATCCCCGAGGGTGCATGGCCTGGAGTTCAGCTTTTTCGACTCTGAGGTCGCTGTCTGACTTTTTTTTTTTTGAGAGCAGAACGAAATGGAAGGAACAGCCAATCTATCTAGAACAAAATGGATGAAATGCAGATGCAGTCTGGGTGGGACCTTACAACATTGGGTGGGCACCCCTAGGTTGGAGTGCAATTTATCTACGTGGCCCACGGCACCTGAGCAGTTCAGTCGATATCGATATCTGCCCGCTACAGTATGCACAGGAAGCACCCTTGGTGTATATTATGGAAACACACATCTTTGAGTTGATGTACTCTTGTCTTGGATTTCACTAATCAAGATGAGTCCGGGGTTCGAATCCCCGAGGGTGCATTCGCATTTGAGTTCCGTTTTTGCGGTGATTCTTTTTCTGACTCCGGCATTATTGCCTCCATCTACATAATGTATCCGTGCTTTCTTCTTTCCTTGCAGGACAGCGAAATGGATTGAAGGAACAGCCATTTTTTAACCAATCCATACTTATATCTAGAACAGGACATGCAGATTGAGTGCAAACACAGGGGACCTTGCAAGCTGCTGTATAATTCAGCGGACAATACCTACCAATCGATATGCGCTCTTGGTGTACGGTAACACACATCTTACATCTGCTTGTTGCAAAGAAAGATTTGAGATGAGTCCGGGGTTCGATTCCCCGAGGGTGCATTATGCATTCATGATCACTTTCTTTTTCGTTCCCTTCTCGTTGGTTGTGGTTTTGATTTTGGGTGCTGAAACATCTAAGTAGTCCGATATTTGCGGGACCCAGATGGTAGTTGTTCATTAATTCATTGCACGGTTGCAGATGTTTGATTCAAAACATCGAGCATTCACCAACTTCTCAACCCACCACAGCACTCTAGATGTAGCAAGCACCCTTGGTCAGACCTTCTTGATATGCAAAGCAAAATTCAAGACAACATAAGTTGCCGTATAATTTAGCAGACCATACCTACCGAGCAGTCCAGTCAATATGTGCCCTTGGTGTACGGTAACACACGTCTTCATGGTATGCTCATCAGCCACTTAATTCAAGACGAGTCCGGGGTTCGACTCCCCGAGGGCGTATGTCGTGATTTCTTTTGGCGGCGTTTCTACTTTTCCGAGTCGCCGACTTTGGTATTGCCATAATCTTTTTTCTTCCTTCCTTGCAGACAGCCGAATGGAACGAACAGCCATTTTTTAACCTATCTGAATTTATCTATATCTATCGGGACCTTGCAAAGTCGGGTGGGCGCCTATAACTCGGAGTATAATGTAGCGGACCCATCGGTTGATATACGTCCACTGTAATGCAGGTAGTAAGCACCCTTGGTGTATGGAAACACGCATCGTGTAGCTTTGTACTCAATATCTGCCTAATCAAGATGAGTCCGGGGTTCGAATCCCCGAGGGTGCACGTTCTCTTCATGTGCAAGTCTTTTGGCTGGGGTTCTGTTTTAAAGTTTTTCCGACTTTGGTGTTTGCCGTCCGGCTTTTTTTTGGGAGGAACAGCCATTTTTCAATCAATCTATCTAGGATGAAATGCAGATGCAGTCTGGGTGGGACCTTGCAACATTGGGTGGGCACCCCCAAGTTGGAGTGTAATTTTCCTACTGAGCAGGTCAGTTGATCATGATATCTGCCTGCTCCAGTATGCATAGGAAGCACCCTTGGTGTATAGAAACACACATCTTTGAATTAATGTACCCGCCGATTTGGTTAATCAAGATGAGTCCGGGGTTCAAATCCCCGAGGGTGCATTTGTGTTTTGGATGCCTTTTAGCAGTAATTCTTTTTCCGACTTTGGCATCGGTATTGCCTCCATCTACGTTGTGTATCCATGCTTTTTTCTTTCCTTGCAGGACAGCGAAATGGATTGAAGGAACAGCCATTTTTTAATCAATCTATGTATATCTATCTAGAACAGGACATGCAGATCGAGTGCAAACACAGGGGACCTTGCAAGCACCCGTAAGTTGCTGTATAATATAGTGGACCATACCTACCAAGCAGTTCAGTCGACATGTGCCCTTAGTGTACGGTAACACATGTCTTACATCTGCTTGGCGACACAGCAGAATTCGAGGCAAACCCGGGGTTCGATTCCCCGAGGGTGCATGGTGGATTTCAGCAGTCTTTTTTCTTTTCCCTTCTGGTTGGTTTTGGTTTTGGTTTCGGGTGCTATTCTCTTGTTGGCTGGTAGAAACATCTAACTAGCCGGATATTTGCGAACCCAGTTGGTAGTTGTTCATTAATTTTAATTTATTGCACAGTACAGATGTTTAAATCAAAACATCGAGCATTCACCAACTTCTCAACCCACCACAGTACTCTAGATGTAGCAAGCACCCTTGGTTTTCTTGATATGCAAAGCAGAATTCAAGACAACATAAGTTGCTGTATAATTTAGCGGACCATACCTACCGAGCAGTCCAGTCAATATGTGCCCTTGGTGTACGGTAACACACATCTTACATCTGTTTGGTTGCGAAGAAGGATTCGAGACGAACCCGGGGTTTGATTCCCCGAGGGTGCATGTTGATTTGTGACCGTTTTTTTCTTTTCCCTTCTCGTTGGTTGTGGTTTTGGTTTGGGTGCTGAAACGTCTAACTAGCCGGATATTTGCGGGACCCAGTTGGTAGTTGTTCATTAATTTTAATTTATTGCACGGTTACAGATGTTTAAATCAAAACATCGAGCATTCACCAACTTCTCAACCCACCACAGTACTCTAGATGTAGCAAGCACCCTTGGTTTTCTTTATATGCAAAGCAGAATTCAAGACAACGTAAGTTGCTGTATAATTTAGCAGACCATACCTACTGAGCAGTCTAGTCAAGATGTGCCCTTGGTGTACGGTAACACCCGTCTTCATGGTATCATCTCATGATTATCCAGGTACCTAATTCAAGACGAGTTCGGGGTTCGACTCCCCGAGGGTGTATGCTGAAGAGCATTGATTTCTTTCGGCGGTGATTCTACTTTTCCGAGTCGCCAACTTTGATATTGCCGTAATCTTTTTTGTTTCCTTGCAGGACAGCCGAACAGCTATTTTTTAATCTATCTATCTATATCTAGTTGGGTGGGCGCCTATAACTCGGAGTATAATGTAGCGGAACCATCGGTTGATATATGTCCACTGTAATGCAGGTAGTAAGCACCCTTGGTGTATAAAAACACACATCTTACAGTTGCTGTCCTTCGCTGTCCAACTAATCAAGATGAGTCCGGGGTTCGAATCCCCGAGGGTGCATCCGCTCCTTTGTGGCCAAGTCTTTTGGGTTCTGTTTTAAAGTTTCTCCGCCTTTGGTGTTTGCTGTCGTCCGACTAGTACTTTTTTTGAGAGCAGAATGGAAGGAACAGCCAATCTATCTAGAACAAAATGAATGAAATGCAGATGCAGGGGACCTTGCAATATTGGGTGGGGACCCCTAAGTTGGAGTGCAAGTTATCTACGTGGCCCACCTGAGCAGTTCAGCTGATATCTGCCCACTATGGTATGCACAGGAAGCACCCTTGGTGTATGGAAACACACATCTTTGAATTAATGTATTCCTGTATCTGGTTAATCAAGATGAGTCCGGGGCTCGAATCCCCGAGGGTGCATTCGCATTCGAGTTCCGTTTTTGCGGTGATTCTTTTTCCGACTCCGACATTGCCTCCATCTAGTATACATAATGTATCCCTGCTTTTTTCTTTCCTGGCAGGACAGCGGAACGGAAGGAACAGCCATTTTTTTTATCAATCTATCTATCTAGAACAGGACATGGCAGATGGAGTGCAAACACAGGGGACCTTGCAAGCTGCTGTATGATTCAGCGGACAATACCTACCAATCGATATGCGCTCTTGGTGTACGGTAACACACATCTTACATCTGCTTCGTGGCAAAGAAGGATTCAAGACAAATCCGGGGTTCGAGTCCCCGAGGGTGCATTATGCATTCACGATCACTTTTTTTTTCTTTTCCCTTCTCGTTGGTTTTAGTTTTAGATGCTATTGTCTTGTCGGCTGGCAGAAACATCCAACTAGCCGGATATTTGCGGGACCCAGTTGGTAGTTGTTCATTAATTTTAATTTATTGCACGGTTACAGATGTTTGAATCAAAACAACGAGCATTCACCAACTTCTCAACCCACCACAGTACTCTAGATGTAACAGGCACCCTTGGTCAGATCTTCTTGGTATGCAAAGCAGAATTCAAGACAATGTAGATTGCTGTATAATTTAGTGTACCATACCTACCGAGCAGTCCAGTCAAGATGTGCCCTTGGTGTACGGTAACACATGTCTTCATGGTATCATCTCGTGGTTATCCAGGTACCTAATTCAAGACGAGTCCGGGGTTCGACTCCCCAAGGGCGTATGTCTGTCTTGGAGCGTCACTTCTTTTGGCGGTGATTCTACTTTTCCGAGTTGCTGACTTTGATATTAGACAGGTTGCGCAAAGCCGCATGCGGCTTGTTTTGTGCGCAAACTCGTCGCATGCGGCTTTTTCGCTTTTCGCTCCGGTGGTCTGGGGAATGTTGTTTAGTAATCATAGCGATGCTGGGGAGCAAAAGAGCACAACTCCGCAGGCGGCTTTAAAAGCCGCGTGCGGCTGTGGCGCAACCTGCCTATTGCCATAATCTTTTTTGTTTCCTTGCAGGACAGCTGAACAGCCATTTTTTAATATATCTATCTATATCTATCTAGGCCCCAAGCTCAGGGCGCCTATAACTCGGAGTATAATGTAGCGGAACCATGGGTTGATATATGTCCACTACAATAGAGGTACTAAGCACCCTTGGTGTATGGAAACACACTTCTTCAATGTGGCCAAATGGTCCAAATGGTCAAGATGAGTCCGGGGTTCGAATCCCCGAGGGTGCATGGCTTTCGCGGCTGAGTCTTTTGGCTGGGGTTCTGTTTTTCCGACTTTGGTGTTTGCTGTACGCATCCGACTAGTACTTTTTTGAGAGCGGAATGAAATGGAAGGAACAGCCATTTTTCAATCTATCTAGAACAAGACCCATGAAATGCAGATGCAGTCTGGGACCTTGTAACATCAAGTGGGCACCCCTAAGTAGGAGTGCAAGTTATCTACTGAACAGGTCAGTTGATATCGATATCTGCCCGTTACAGTATGCACAGGAAGCACCCTTGGTGTACATTATGGAAACACACATCTTTGAGTTAATATATTCCTGTATGTGGTTAATCAAGATGAGCGCGGGGTTCAAATCCCTGAGGGGTGCATTTGCATTCTGGATGCCTTTAGTGTTGATTATTTTTCCGACTTCGGCATTACCTCCATCTACATAATGTATCCATGCTCTTTTCTTTCCTTGCAGGACAGCGGAATGGAAGGAGCTGCTATTTTTCAATCAATCTATCTATCTAGAACAGGACAGGTGGAGTGCAGATGTAGTCTGGGACCTTGCAAGCACCTGTAAGTTGCTGTATAATTTAGCGGACCATACCTACCAAGCAGTCCAGTCAATATGTGCCCTTGGTGTGCGGTAACACACGTCTTATGTCTGTTTGGTGACAAAGAAGGATTCAAGACGAACCCGGGGTTTGAGTCCCCGAAGGTGCACTGCATATTTGCAATCGTTTTTTTCTCTTTTCCCTTCTCGTTGGTTTGGCTTTGGGTGCTATTGTCTTGTTGGCTGGTAGGAACATCTAACTAGTCAGATATTTGCGGGACCCAGATGGTAGTTATTCATTAATTTTAAATTATTGCACAGTTACAGATGTTTGAATCAAAACATCGAGTGACATTGAGCCCAGACGCACCAATTTCTCAACCCACCACAGTGCATGTAGCAAGCACCCTTGGTCAGATCTTCTTGATATGCAAAGCAGAATTCAAGACAAACCCGGGGTTCAATTCCGCGAGGGCACATCTGCTAGCCAGTTCCAGTTTTTTTGCAAGTTGCCAGCAACCACACAAATTCTGCATGCAGCCTTCAGGATGAGAATGCCACAAATGCAGAATTGGCAGTCATTGGTACTCAGTTCTTTCCTTGATTACAGCCCTTGTGTCTAAATAATTAAAGCATACAGAGCCCTGCCTCCCCATCTCCCAACTAGGCCCTGATTCACTACAGTGTAGCAAGTGCCCTTGGTGTACGGAAACACACATCTTTCAATTATACCATTGGAGGATATACAAGATGAGTCCGGGGTTCAACTCCCTGAGGGTGCATAACCAGTGCATATAGTCATTTTTATTTTTTCCTTGCTCACTGGTTTTGGGTATTCTCTGCCCGGCGAGGGTGGGTCGGCAGATATACCTGACTAGTCAGATATTTGCAGTACCCACTTGGTGGTTCATCTATCTATTGGACAGTTACAGATGTTTCAATCAAATCATACCCAGCCCCCGCCTTGCTCCCCAACTTCCACACCCACTGATACAGTATACCAAGCACCCTTTGTGTATGGAAACACACATCTTTCAATTATGTTCCCCACCAAGCCTGGGGTTCAAATCCCTGAGGGTGCATGCAAGGTCCGTGGTGTACAATTTTTGCCAATTTTTTCTTGGTTACCTCCTTTTATCCTTGTTCCCTCACTTCTTTCTATGACCTTTGTTGGAAAGAGGCAGTGTTTCTGAAGAGTGTATGCTACTCATTCAGATCAGGGATGTGGACCCACTAGTCAAAGCTCCTGTGAGGACTGGTACCTTCCTAACTTTCCAACCAGTTCTATACGGTGTGTCAGCAACGGCCTCTGGGTCGGCTAAACAGCGAGTAACCCGACAAGAACCCCAACCAGGATAAACCCGATAGACGCTAGTAGCTGGTGTGTTCCCCGAGCAGCAAGACCAACCGTACGACATCCTCCCTAGGAGGCCGTATGTCATAGGTCGGGATGCGAGGCGGAACCCAGAACGAGTTGAAGAGGGTGTGATATCCACTCGGGTACAAAACCCGGGGCGTGGATATAACCTGTAGTACGATGTGAAGGAATCAGGGCAGGGTGGAGACAATGCCTATGTCAAGCCAAGGTAGAAGCCTGAGATTAGACGAGGTAGAATCTACTGTACATGGAGATTCTACCGTGCTTATATAGGCTTCTAATAAATTAAAGTGATCACGGTCAATCACGATCAGTTCCTGTACGGCAGCATTAAGGAGCGTTAATGCTGATACTCCTGTACTCCTCTGTGTTGGTTTCCGTGGCATCGGAGGACCTAAGAGACCCGAAGTTCGGGTTTCCTAGTCCTGAATGTCATCGTATCCAGTGGTTCAAACCCTGATCGGTTTGCAACCAGTCTTGTACTTCGTGTACGCTTCGGTGTCAGCCATTGGCGTGTCCGGGGACTAGGATCTGTCTGTACGGGTTCCTAGTCCCTAACATCTTCTGTATCCCGTGGTGCAGACTCCCCGAGTCTGCGGCTTTAGAATCCGAGGCTGGGTTTCAACCGTGAGACGGTCATGTGGTGGCGTCATGAGAGTCCCGTGCCGCTAAGACGTGTCTGTATCCATACGGACGCGTCGCGCGAAAAAGTAGAACCCAGGTGATTCATGACAGGGTGCCCTGGTATGGATATCATGTTCTCAAAGAGATCAAGATGAGACTGGGGTTTAATTCCCGAGGGTGCATGTTGTACTTGTTTTTTCTTTGTAGTTGGTTGCTTGGACAGCGAAAATCCGGAGATGGATTGGCATGGACTTTTCATTGCACAAATTACTCCTCTGGAGATGGAATCTCATCAGCTTCTTGACTCACCTGAAATATAAAACCGCCTATTCTGAAATACATGAAAGGAAATCCGGAGTTCAACTCCCCAAAGGTGTGTAAGTGTTTCTATGGCAAGATATTTCTTTCCCATTGAACTAATGAGCTTGGGAGGGGCTTTACTGTTCAGACTTGGTATTCATACTTTTCCTGTGGCCAGCAAGGAGAAGAAAAGAACGGGTCAAGAGGATTGGAGCCTTTTTTGCAGTGGTTGAAACTCTAAAACTGGAATGCAGAAGATGGTTGGTAAAACCACTGTTACTTCATTAGCTCAATTTACTAGCTGGAATTGCGCCCTTGGTGTATGGTTACACACATCTTCCAATTGGACTGGAAGCACACCTGTCTTGGGGTTCAACTTTTCTCCAAGGGTGACTCATCTCAAAGTCATCTTTAAGGCAGCTTGCACAAACATGTCTCGTCACGCTTCTTGCCCTTTATATTCAGTCCTGTCACCTTTTCCAAAACAGCTTCTAGTGCAGGATGGTTCAAAGCGAACGAAATCTTAAGTGCCCCAAGTGCCCATCGGCCCATCGGGAACGTTTGGGTGGGGACGGGCATCGGCCAATCGGAGAACGGCAGCTTTGTCCGTGTTCGGTTGGCAGGGACAGTCGGTTCCACTTTTGTAAACGTATCTACATTTTATCCAGGCACTTTGACATCTTTGACCGAAGAGAAAGTGGCCATCAAATCAACATAAGAGCACAACTGTTTTGTCAAATTTTTTATACTGCTCAGATACTTGAAGGATATCCTAGATTTTGCGAGACAACAGTTGTCTTTGAGGACGATGAAGGGATGGTAAAAAATTGGGCAAGACAGTCTTGTGGTCATGCTAATTTCCTACAAGTCAGCTAGCAGAACCAAGAGGATTAGTCTAGAATTGAGAGAGCCTATACCTTTTTCGTGGCAGCAGTTTAACGTGTTGAGTCATGTCTGTGACAAGTCCTAATTTGAGAATGCGCTGCTCCCCTATCCTCAAAACTTTCATCTGCACCTCAAATTCCATGACAATTCAACACAAAACACTCTACCTAAATGCTCTGGATTGATTCTGCCTATGCCTCTACTGTCCAAAAACCAGGCCAAAGGTAAAAAACTAGGTTTATCTAACGGCTGCAATGAAAATCTGGCTCCAACAGATTCTGGGCTCGTACCTGACAACACTGCACCCCCGAAACCCAGACCGACCCCTCGAACTCTAAAGGCCCAGATAGTGGAGAAGGATGTCATCATTGGCCAGCTGGAGACTCGGGTGGCTGACTTGGAACACGAGGTTCTTCGGCTCCAGAATGCTCACCAGGAGGCTTCACAGCTTTCCCAAACCCTTACCGAAAGGAACCGTAATCTTTCCCTCACCAACATCAGCCTCAACTCTCTGAAACGAAAGGCCGAAACTCCCCTGACCAACAAACTTACTAAACGATAAAGAGACTCGAGCGCGAGCGCTGCAGCACAAAGGAGGTTACTAGAATGTCGATCTCGGACCTGGAGGAAGCGCTAGAGCAGAAGTCAGCCCGCATAACACAACTAGAACGGGATCTTGTCTCCACTCACACTCACATCCTCTCACACGACTCTGTGATTACTGTGCTGAAAGCCAACCTTCGTCATAAACAAGCGCTCATAACGGCTGGTCGGAAGTGTCTGTGTGCATCTCAGAAACAGGTCCAGAGAGCCCAGTCGTCACTCAGAAAGGTCCTGACTACAAACAATTGCGCACTTGGAACCCCACGGAAGGCGGGCAGTACCACTCGGCAGCACATAAATTGGCACAGGACTTGATCCATGCAGGGTGTGCTCTGGGAAAGGTTGTGTCTGCAGTACAAAGCCGTGCTGAGGCGTTCGGGATAAGAATTTGTCAACGATTTATGTCATGACGAACAGTGAGCTGAGTGATTGATGAAGGGGGGAAGTACGGGGAAATACAGTGTGGCCGTGAAATTTTGAATGCAGAAGGTACAGTTTTCGTTCGTCTGCAGTAATCTTCTCTAATCCAGTACAGGTTTTGTTGAGAGCTCCGATGGGACGACTCACCAGGGAATAACAGTCGAATCTACACACATCACACTATGTGTCCTGTCCTATGCGCCTGGGGTCAATGATTCTGACAAATCCACCTGGAAACACCGGATTCGTTTCGTCAATGTTGCACCAGCACTTGATCATACAGCCCAGTGCCAATTTGACGGAACTCTTGCGACAGCTACCTGGATCGCAGATACATACACCCGCAGTCCGCTTGCCATGCAGGAGCAGAGAACTATGGACAGTGACAACTACTATCAGAAGAAGATGGGTGAACACAAGGATCATGCAGCGGACGGAAAGAAAGAATTCAACATCTTGGCGGAACACAAGACCGACATCGTTATCCATGATCTGGGCCGGGCGGTTTTAGACGATGCAGATATTGAAACCGGTCGCATTTTACTCACCATCTTGGACATTACAGATGAAGACCTCCAGAAGGCGGCAAAGCTTTCGGCGCCACAGCTAACTGCATTGTATTTTTTGTTGCTTGCACATTGGAATATTTTACTAATGCTGTTCGTTAGGCCTCCAGCAGAGCGAGCAAAGATTAGCCAGCATGTCTTAGAGCTCAAAATGGGCGAAGAGAAATTTGAAAGCCTCACCTCCGCCCAGAAAAGTAACTGCTGCACCCATGTTTTCGGCAGCTGCTGTTGCCACAAGGACCTAAACATTGTGGAATACGGATACAAGGCAGTGCAGGGGATATACAAGACCCATGGACTTCCCTCTCCCATCCTCCTTGCTAATAAAGCTAATAGCGCGACAATCACTCTTGGTGCCGATGATCTGACCAACGCAGTGGTGCAACAGGCAATGGATGCAAGTAGTGCTGGTGCAATAAAGTTGCTCCAGTTGCTTGGTGCGCTATTGCATTACAAGGACGGCAAACGGGGATACCAGCAGAAGACCGCCATCTTTATGCGGGAACGTAAACTCGAACTGTACAAAATTGACGAGCCCCGCCAATTTCCCGACGTGTCCAACACTCACTATGGCTGCTATACTTATGCTGCTGCCGAAGTGGTCTGCTTCCACGGTCTCATCGACGAACTTGTCACGGAGGTTGTCGACAGCAAAACAAAATCTGGACAACAAAATCACATTGAGTCAAACATCATTAAAGGTCTGAACTGCCCTGCGACTATGACAGAGAATGCCGTGCTGGCCTTGTATGGAGTGTGTGTGTCTTGGCCGTACATGGCAATGGTTCGCGGAACGAAGGATGACCCAGTCAATCTGCTTTCTCTAACTGACCTCCACCGAAAACTTCCCGTGTTCTGCTCTCATATCGCGTCCAACCCCCATATCCTGCTCGACTCATCGACGCCCATGGATCAGTTGACCATTGATGGCGAACCATTCCTGGACAAGTTTCTTGTCAACACAATCCGAGCTTTGGCTTCAGAACTACCAAACCTACACATAGCC